GGTTTACGGCTATAAAAGACACTAACCTGAGACTAAAGATTCGTTGTTTCCGAATTGCCATAAAGTACCCGGCTAGATTCTCCAGCAATGTGTTGCGAGCGTCATCTTTGCATTGCTCTTCTCTTAGTTAACTTAGGAGCAGTTGCTCTGGTCTCTGCTCAGGGATCTAATTCTACCTCCCGCTGGCAGACTCTTAGCGGTTTGTTTCCTTACATAGAACATCTTCTACTACATTTTATCCTTTTTGAGATCAGTTTACTCCTTTTTTTCGCTTTCTTGATGAGATCAGAAAATACAGTCTTTTTAATTTCTTTGAATCACTTTCTGACTGTTTGGTTAAATCCAGTCCTTGAGTCATCATTGATGACCAGTTCTAGCCAATGTTCGTCTTTTTAATTTCTTGGGCGGAAAAATTGTTTTGATCTCTAAAGACAAGATTTTCTAGGGTCACCAAGAACAATTTCTAGTACCGTATATTCATTTATTCAGTAATCTAACAGGTACCTGTTTGATTGGATTTGCAGGGGATGCACCTTTGGTTGTTGCACGTGGTGGATTTTCAGGAATGTTTCCAGATTCTAGTTCCCAGGCTTATACCTTGGCATTGATAACTAGTGTACCTGATGTCATATTATGGTGTGATGTTCAGTTAACCAAAGATGGAGTTGGGATTTGCTTTCCTGATCTCAATCTAGATAATAGTTCTGACATTAGTTATATTCCACTTTTTAACAATCAGCAGAAGGTTTACCAGGTTAATGGTTTTCCTGTTAAGGGATGGTTTTCTGTGGATTACACCTTCAGTGACCTTGGAAATCTTTCCTGTTAAGTGAATCCATATTTTTTCATAATCCGTTCTCAATTTCTATTGAAATCCCACTTAGAGGGATATGTTCTGCTTATCATTCTGATGTGTTCTATTTTTCATGGACAGTAATTCGAGGAATCTATTCTCGGACTCAACGGTTTGATGGCAATTTGTTAAAAATTATGGCTGTTCAAGATGTGGCTTATCAATTTAACCAATCAGCTTTCTGGTTGAATGTTCAGGTAAATTGGTTGGTTAATTAGAAAGCCTGTTAATTTTTATTTTATTGTTTTCTGGCCTGATTCTGTAACTGCTTGCTTACTAGTGCCTGGTTTGACACTTTCTCTCCTTTCTTCAACAATAGAGCCATTATCTCCTTGTTCTTCTTCAGAATTATTAACCCTAGTGCTTTGATGCTTTTGCAGCATGATGCATTTTACACGCAACATAAATTGAGTATGAGGAACTTTGTCCTTAATGCATCTAAAAGTGTGATTGTTGATTACATCTCTTCACCAGAGGTTGGCTTCTTGAGGAGTATTTCGGCACCTTTTGCATCAAGCAAGACAAAGCTGGTCTTCCGGTTCATGCAACAAGATGACATTGAGCCTTCAACCAACCAGAGTTATGGTTCTCTGTTAAGGAATCTCACATTTATCAAGAAATTTGCGTCAGGAATTATTGTTCCCAAGTCTTACATATGGCCAGTAGATTCTAGTAATTACTTGCTACCTTCAACCTCTGTCGTCTCAGACGCTCACAAAGTAGGGCTAGAAGTTTTTGCATCAGACTTTGCGAATGATGCTCAATTTAGCTTCAATTACAGCTATGATCCAGTGGCTGAGTATTTAAGTTTCATTGATAATGGTCACTTCTCTGTTGATGGTGTGATATCTGACTTTCCAATAACTCCATCAGAAGCTATAGGCAAGTCACTAGTTCTTTTAGTAAAAGTGAAACCATTTATCCAATGCAGTAACCTAGTCTCAACAACTTTGGTTTATCAAGGCCACCTTTATTGAAACTTCTTTTTTTTATTCTCCAGATTGCTATGCTCACCTAGGCAGAAATGCTTCAAAACAAGGTAAGCATCATCTCGCCAACTTTTGATGTAAAAGGACGCAAGACTTTATATTTTTGGTCCTACCAATTCTCCAGAGGTTCTTCTTGACACGACTTTCATCCCTTGCCTTGTTGTAGCTGATCTACTGATTATAACAAAAAATGGAGCAAGTGGGGACTACCCCGGATGCACTGACTTGGCATACTCAAAAGCCATTGTAGATGGTGCAGATGTTATTGACTGTCCTGTCCAAATGACAAAGGATGGGATACCTATTTGCTTGCAGTCTATTAATCTTTTTGATAGCACAAATGTTGTCCAATCAAGATTCAGCAACCTTGCAACAACGATTCCAGAGATTCAAGCAGGCACTGGAATATTTACCTTTACTCTGACATGGAGTGAAATTCAGACCTTGAAACGTGAGTTATATTTGCTTCCTTTTTGTTTGTGCTGTAGTTAGTTATTTTTTCAGCTTCATATTTTTCCTTCTTTTAGAAACCGTTAGTTCTTTGAAATGTGATTTTTTGAATCATAAATAAATTAATAATATCAACTTGAATCACACAGCAAGTCTGCACAAGGCAGACCAAAGAGAAAACTGTAAACAGGAAAAAGGGGGTAAAAATAGATATAAGAAAGAGAAAAATAATTTCTAAAGGTGTATTTGTCCAACAAGTTAAGGAA